TCTGGATTAAAATTTGGAAATTATCATGTAAATCTAGTAAATAATTAATGCATAACACTTAAAAAATTAACACTCAATTAAAAACTGCATTACATTAAGTTGTTTTAGTAACACTGTTAGCTATAGTAATGTTAATTTTACACTGTTATTAAAGAGAGATGGAGAGAGAGAGTGAGAATTAACAGTAACAATTTATCATTATTACTCTTAGAATTTGTACTTTTAAACTGCTTTTTTTAAGTTAATACTTTATTTTAATTGTTTAGGTATTTAATGTTAAATAAGTGACTTTTTTTGTTTTTAAAACGAAAATTTCACTTTGACTCTTCATTGTATTTAAAGCCGCGTTTTAGACTTCAGAACAATTTTACTGTTTGGCGCGTGAAAACCTAAAAAGTAACCGTTTTATTTTCTTTTTATAAAAAATAACGTTTAATATATATATTTTTTGTATTAAAAAAAGGAATTGTCTATTTTTATTGAAAATAAATCTACATGTGCGAGTAATTAAATTTTGTTGTAAACTATTGCATAGCGTGTAAATTGTTAATGTTTTCGTTAATTTATAAAAATTATATTTATAAAAATTTACTTTTGTTAAAGACTAATCGTGGGACCAAAAAAATTCTAATTTTTGTTTATTTATAACAGTTAATAAAACGTAAGAAATAATAAAATTTTTTGTGTAAAAAACAAACAAGTGTTAAATTATATTTGAAACACAACAACAACAATAATTATTTGATATTAACCATAAAAATTGAAAGGTAAATAAATGTAGAGACAAGTTTAATAAAAAAAATTTAATTGAAATTTCAAAACATTTTTTGGAAATTACGTTTTGTAAAAAAAAAAAAATTGCCACCAAAAAAAAAGTTCAATAACTTAATAATTAGAAAAAGTTTTAGGAATATGAAATGTTTTCAATTTATTCCAAAGTTCAAAATTTTAAATAAAACACACGTTTTTATAAAAAAGTTTAAAAACCCAGATATTTGAAAGTAAAAATATCTAAAATCCGTAATAAAAAACGCTGGAATTGGTAAAATATCTCTAAATTATAAAAAAATTACAATCATTTTTAAATTTCAAACAAAAAAATTAATTCCTAAAATATTTAAAAAATCTCCTCAAGTGGGGATTTTTGTTAAACATTTGGGAATAAAAATTTGTATGTTTTTGGAAGCATACAAACATGGTTTATAAAGTAAATTATTAAAAAATTCTGGATTTATTAAAAATATACACTTCCCCGGCAAAAATAGATTTCCCCAGTAGGGGACTTTTTAATTTTTATAAGGAATTTTATGTTTTCTTCAACTAAATATTGTTTAACCGAAAAAATTTATGATTTCTAGAAAGAACTAGAATTCTTAAAATCTTAGTAAAAAATCTTTTCAAGTGGGGATTTCTGTTAAACATTTGGGAATGAAAATTTTTGTTTTTTTAGAAAGAAAATTCATAATTTAACAATTAAAACATAAAAAACTAAAGTTTTACGAAAAAAATATACTTCCCCGGCAAAAATATACTTCCCCAGTTTAGATTTTTTTGTTTATTTTCTGAATTTTATAAAGAATTTAACTTTTCTTTAACATAAATAATTGTAAACATTTAAAATTTTTACATTTTTGCTAAGAAATTTGAATTCCTAATTTCAGGTTTAAAATCTCCTTAAGTGGGGATTTTTGAAAATTGTTTGGGAATGAAAATTTTTATGTTTTTGAAAGCATATAAACATGTTTTATTAAATTCTTTTAACAAAATTTAAGTTTTTTAAAAAAATATATATACTTCCCCGGCTTAAAAATGTTAAATTTAAAGCAAAAAATGTTGCCACAGTTTTTTTTACCATTTTAATAATAGTTAGAAGGTTAATTTAGGGAATATTATAAAGAAACCTGAATTCCCAATACCAGAGGAAAAAATCTCCTCAAGTGGGGATTTTCGAAAAACATTTGGGAATGAAAATTTTTATGTTTTTAAAAAGAAAATTGAAGTTTAAGCGATTAAAATTGAGAAAAAATAAGTTTTAATAAAAAATACACTTCCCCGGCTAAAAAAAAGTTTCCCCAGTTTTGAAAATTTGTGAATTTTGAAAGAAATTAAAATTGTTTAAGCTTTATTAAGAGTTTTTGGTTAATTTAAAGAATTTTACCAAGAAACTTGAATTCCCAAGTCCAAGGGAAAAATCTCCTTAAGATTTTGGAAAAAGTTTTTGGAATTCAAATTTTTTTGTGAAATTCGCTGAAAAATTTTATTTTTTTATGATTTAAACAATAATTTGTATAAAATTTACGTTTTCTGCTAAATAAATGAGGTTTTTAAAAATTGCGTTTCTGTATGATTTAAATTATATTTTTTAAAAGATTTTTACAACATTTTTAAACTTGAAATGTCAATTTTATTGAAAGAATTGTGACAATATTTATTTATTACTATGAACATAAAAATTTCGTGTAAATTTTTTTTAAGGCGCAGAAAAACGCAAAACATTTAAAAACCCGCTTTAAATTTAGTTAATGAAGGCAAACAGGAACTGATTAATGCTCATTTTTGATCTGCATTTTAGAGAGAGATAGAAAAAAAAAATAGTTGTTACACATTTGATTTTATGATAAACAATAACAAAAAAGATTTTGTTAATTAATTTAATCTAAAAATCATTTCTATTTTTAAGAAAATAAAAATTTTAACAAAATACATAAATCAAAATTTTTTATTTAATAATTGCCGCCTTAATTACTAAAGATTATTATTTAAGAAAAAACGCACACATGACATTGTTTTTGTGGGTTTTTTTTAAAGAACAACAACATCAAAACAAAATTTCTGTTAAATTGTCACGTGCCGTCGCTGGTTTAAACGATAGCGTGAGCCAGCTTCATACAGCTTCCCCTTTTTTTGTAAAACGGTACGTGTTTTATTAAATAATACAAGCACAATATAAGAAATTTTTAATTCCCGAAAAAATTACCAAAATCCCAACTGGGGAAACTTATTTTTTCACCAAACTTGTTTATTTTAAAGCTAGAAATAAACTAAATCAATTTCCCATTCCAAAAAAATTATTCCCAAACAATTTTCAAAAATCCCCACTTGAGGAGATTTTTAACAAAAAATAGGAATTTAATTTTCTTAATAAAAATCAGAGATTTATTAAGCAGACTATCAATTAAAGCAATAAAAACTAAAATTCATAAAAAAAAAATCAAAAATTTCCCAACTGGGGAAACCTAAATTTAACGGGGAAGTGGTATTTCTTTAAAAAATTTTGAAATTTTTTATGTCAAATAAAACTATATAAATTTCTCTTTCTAAAAACCCAAAAATTTTCAAAAATCCCCACATGAGGGGATTTTTAACAAAAAAATAGGAATTTAATTTTTTAATAAAAATCAGAGATTTATTAAGCAGACTATAAATTAAAGCAATAAAAACCAAAATTCCTAAGAAAATTTCAAAAATTTCCAACTGGGGAAACTTAAATTTAACGGGGAAGTGGTATTTCTTTAAAAAATCTTGAAATTTTTTATGTCAAGTAAAACTACATAAATTTCACTTTCTAAAAATCTAAAAAAATTCATTCCCAAACAATTTTAAAAATCCCCTTTTAGGAGATTTTCTTTAAAGAATATAGGAATTTAAGTTTCTTTTTAAAAATCGAAGATTTATTAAGAAAACTATCAGTTAAAGTCATAAAAGCTAAAATTCCTAATATTTAATGAAAAAATCCCTTACAAATTTCTTTAATTAACGGGGAAGTGGAATTTTCTTCAAAAAATCTTGAATTTTTAATTTCAAATAAAAATACATAGATTTCACTTTCTAAAAATCTAAAAAAAATCATTCCCAAACTATTTTTAAAAATCCCCTATTAAGAAATTTTCTTTAACGAACTTAGGAATTTAATTTTCTTTTAAAAATCAAATATTTATTAAGAAAACTATCAGTTAAAGTCATAAAAACTAAAATTCCTAATATTTAATGAAAAAATTCCATAAAAATTTTAGGAATTTAAAACTGGGGAAGCTTAAATTTACCGGGAAAGTGGTATTTCTTTAAAAAATCTTTAAATTTTTTATGACAAATAAAACTACATGAAATTGACTTTCTAAAAATCGAAAAAAATTCATTCCCAAACTATTTTTAAAAATCCCCTATTAAGAGATTTTCTTTAAAGAATTTAGGAATTTAATTTTCTTTTTTAAAATTAAAGATTTCTTAATTTAAAAAAAGTTAAAATCATAAAAACTAAAATTCCTAATATTTAATGAAAAATACCTTACAAATTTCAGAAATTTAAAACTGGGAAAACTTTAATTTAACGGGGAAGTGGTATTTTTAAAAAAATCTTGAAATTTTTTATTGAAAATAAAAATACATAATTTTTTATAGGGAAATAAGCAAAAATTTCAATTCCCAAATGATCTTGGGAAATACCCATTTGAGGAGATTTTTTTATAAAAATTAGGAATTTCGATTTCTGTAGAAATTTTGTAAATTTATTAAGTAATTTTTATTTATAGCAATAAATATTAAGATTTTTAATAATTTATGAAAAAATGTCTTAAAATTGTTAGAAAATTAAAACTGGGGAAATTTAAATTTAACGGGGAAGTGGTATTTCTTTAAAAAAACTTTAAATTTTTATTTTATACAAAAATACATACGATTTGGTGGATTTATAGGCAAAAATTTTGATTCCCAATTGTCTTTTTAGAAATCCCCATATGAGGAGATTTTTAAGAGAAATTGGGAATTTAAATTTTTTGTGAATTTTGTTAATATAAAGTAAAAATTTAAGTTTTATTCAAGAAATTGTTAGTTTGTTTTAGAATAAGGTGAAAATTATGTGTTTTGAACTTATAAACGTGTTATTTTTATAGTTTTTTTTTTTTTTTTTTTTTTTTGTATTTGATTAAGTAATAGTTATTTTTGTTGTAACATAATACCTTAATAATTTTTTTAATGCTTTTGTTTTTTTATTCTATTTACAGCTTTATACACAATTAGCTGTTGCTGCTAGTTAACTATTAACTTTAAAATTTGTTGGTTAAAGTAAAACTTAACTAAAGTTTTAATAAATTTTTTCCCCCTTTTTTGGAACGAATTTTTCTTTTTCTTTTGCGGATTACGCGTCGCACACGGATAAAACAAAAAAGCTACTTCATAGAATGGTAGAAGGTGACTCTCAAAATAAAGCAAGTAATAGTAAGTTTAACAAATTTTAAAAGGAATTTAAAGAACATTTTAATAAAATTTATGAAATTTTATTGCAGATTATAATGTAGAGACTGGACTACAACCAAACGATAATAATACAACTACAACAACTGTAGATAATCGCTCTATTTTACAACCTTACGGCTTGGTTACTGACTCTAAAGATCCCGGCTATCACATCAACGAGGCCTATGAGAATGATAAAAATGACGTAGAAAAAGGCGGTAATGCTGGCCGTTCTGGCGGCGGCCTTAAGGCCGGCTTTGAACAGGCCATAGAAATGTGCGGCTATGGCAATTCCATTATATACTATTGGCCATTTGTGGTCTGGTTAGTACGAGTGAAGAAATGATGCATTTCGATGTCGATTCATTTTTTGCCCTCGGCCCAATGTGATTTGAATTTGAATACGGAAAACTAAAGGTTGGCTTAACTCCATCATCTTCATTGGCATGATGGTGGGTGCTTTTTTTGGGGTAGTATTGCTGATTCGATGGGCCGTAAGAAAGTACTGATTGTATATCGTTTATGAATGGTTTGCATTGTCGCCTCGTCATTTTCGCAAACTTACGAATGGTTTATGCGTTTTCGATTTTTGAATGGTGCTGCGTAAGTATTTTGAAATGAATCATTTTAGTTGTTTTAATTGTTTAAATAACAAATCTTTTTCTGAATCTCAAGTATTTTTAAAGTGTTTATGTTAATTGATTTGCTAAATTTTACAACAAAAAAAGTGTCCGTGTTACCCTTAACAAAAAAGTAACACCTTTAATTTTACAGCCGCTATTTAACAACATTTTGTTTATTTGAACTAAAAATGAAAAAACA